GGATGGTGGGGGAATGACAAGGGGTCCGATCCTTGTTGTGGCAGTGCAGCCCTGGCTCCTTTCCCACTGTCCAACCTGAGGCACATGTGCCAAACAAAATACTTTCAAGTGCCACATTCTGGCACCTGGGCCAAGGGTTGCCTACCCCTGGCTTACCCTGTTTTGCCCTTGTCTGTTTGATTTTTCCTTCCTAAGCATAGCCTTTACATTTGTCTTTGTCAAATTTTCATTTCTTGCCCATTCTTGGCTGAGCAGATGCTGGGACTGGTATATGTTTATAGATTTGAGACTCCATTCATGCTTATAAATAGCTTGGTAGAGTTGAAAGACAATACAGGAACTGGTACATTGTAGGTATATCGGGAGCACCCTTTCCAGGTTCGCAGATGACACCAAGTTATGGGGAAAAGTTAACACACCGGAGGGCAGGGAGCAGATACAGGCCAATCTGGACAGGTTGGATCAATGGGCAGAACAAAATAGGATGCAATTCAACAAAGATAAATGCAAGGTACTCTACCTAGGGAGGAGGAATCCCCAGCACACCTATAGGTTGGGGGATGACCCCCTCAGCCGCTCAGTGGCTGAGAGGGATCTTGGAGTCATAGTTGACTCCAAGATGAATATGAGCCAGGAGTGTAAAGAAGCCATCAATAAAGCCAATCGCACCTTGTTGTGTATTAGCAGATGCATGACCAACGGTTCAAGGGAGGTGATGCTCCCCCTCTATGTGGCATTGGTCAGGCTGCAGTTGGGAGTACTGTGTCCAGTTTTGGGCACTGCACTTCAAGAGGGACACAGAGAATCTGGAGAAGGTTCAAAGGAGGGCCACTCACATGATTAGTGGCCTCTGTGAAAGACCCTGTGAGGGGAAGTTGAGGGATCTGGATCTCTTCAGCCTTCACAAGAGATGTTTGAGGGGAGACCTTGTAGCTGCCTATAAGTTTATCAGGGAAGGACAACAGGGAATTGGAAATGCACTATTTACCAGAGCACCCCTAGGAGTTACTAGAAATAATGGGTGCAAACTAGTGGAGAGTAGATTCAGGTTAGACATTAGGAAGAAATTTTTTACAGTAAGGGTGGCCAGAATCTGGAATGGGCTACCAAGAGAGATGGTACTATCACCTAACTTGGAGGTCTTCAAGAGGAGGCTAGATAGGCACCTGGCTGGGGTCATCTGACCTCGGTCCTCTTTCCTGCCAGGGGCAGGGGGTCAGACATGATGATCCTTTGTGGTCCCTTCCGACTCTACAATCTATGAATCTATGACATCATTGGTGTATATTGGTACAGTTAATCATGCAGCTTACACTGCGGTAAAGTGGTTAGAAAATTTCAATGCGAAAGAAGAGAAACACATCCCTGTGCATGGTAACCACAATGGTACAAAGATGTAAGATTATAAGGAATTCTAATCAGATGGCTGTTACTGTCTTTAGCATTATAATATGAGCACTGAAATAGCATTTTGTATATATGGTATTGCACATACACACACACAGAGTATATTGCATAGAATCATAGAAAAATAGGGTTGGAAGGGACCTCAGAAAGTCATTTAGCCTAACCCCCTGCTCAAGGCAGGACCATCCCAGCCAAGACTTTGTCTACCTAAGTCTTAAAAACATCCAAGTATGGACAGTCCACAACCTCTCTGGGTAACCTGTTCTGATGCTTTACTACTGTCCTAGTGAGAAAGGTTTTCCTAATATGGAACTTAAACCTCCCTTGCTGCAACTTGAGACCATTGTTCCTTGTTCTGTCATCTGCCACCACTGAGAACAGTCTAGCTCCATCCTCTTTTGAACCCCCCTTCAGGTACTTGAAGGCTGCTATTAAATCCCCTCTCAGTTTGTCTTCTCCAAATTAAATAAGCCCAGTTTCCTCAGCCTCTCCTCATAAGTCATGTCCTCCTGCCCCCTCACCATTTTGTTGCCCTCTGCTGGACCTTCTCCAATTTGTCCACATCTTTTCTGTAGTGAAGGCCCAAAACTGGACACAGTACTACAGATGTGGCCTCACCCATGATTAATAGAGGGGAAGAATCACTTCCCTCAATCTGTTGGCAACGGTCCTACTAATGCATCCCAGTATACTAATGGCAACAAGGGCACACTGTTGGCTTATATTCATCTTATCATTCACTATAACCCTCGGGTCCTTTTCTGCAGGGCCGCTGCTTAGCCAGTCATCCCCAGCCTGTACTGGGGTTGGATGGATTTTTTCCATTCCAAGTGCAGGACTTTGCATTTATCCTTATTGGACCTCATGAGATTTCTTTTGGCCCAATCCTCCAGTTTGTTGAGGTCCCTCTGAATCCTAGCCTTACCTTCCAGTGTATCTACTACTCCCCGCAGCTTGGTGTCATCTGCAAACTTGCTGACGGTGCACTCCAACCCATCTTCCAGGTCACTGATGAAGATATTGAACAAAACTGGCCTCAGGACTGACCCCTTGAGCACTTAAGACCAGCTGGCAACTAAACAGAGAGTCATTGATTCCAACTCTCTGAGCCCAGTGATCCAGCTAGTTTTCTATCCACCTTACAGTCCTTTCATCCAATCCATACTTACTCAGTTTGCTGGTGAGAATGTTGTGGAAGACCATAACAAAAGCCTTGCTAAAGTCAAGGTATATCATGTCCACTGCTCCTCCTGTATCCAAAGAGCCGGTCATCTCATCACAAAAGGCCGTCTGGTTGGTCAAGAGTGACTTGCCCTTGGTGAATCCATGCTGACTCGATTAATTGTACATGTATGCACACACACACATATATACACATACATAAATACACATAATGAATGCATATATGTATAATGTATATACATGTATAACGCATGCATATACACATGTAATGCATATACATGTATAAGACATACAAAAAACTAGAACATTTGGTTCTAAATTATACCTTTTATTAGACCAACTGGGAAAACACAAGAAAACTGTCCTTTTCTGCAAGCTTTCAGGAGCAAAGTCCCTTCATCAGGCTCTGGGAAAAGTATAGATGGTACAAGATGGTAAAAAGTCCCCATAGGTAGAAAATAAACTTCATTTCTGCACAGAGGGAGCTGAAGATGAAAGGCTGTCTCCCTCTTGGTCCATGAGAGTGTCTTTGTGAGCTGTGCTGAGTAGTTCTTTGATGTGTAGATCAGGTATAATTTCTTCCTTGGAGGTATGAGATGGCAGGCAGGGAGGTAAAAACTCTATCTTGTTGTTCTGCAATGAAGTTTAAAATCCAAAATCAGCTAAAATTCTGCATCTTCCAGGTTTCAGGGGCGTACTTGGTAGCTGTGTTGGTCTGAGAGAAGAAGACATACAAAAAATTAGAACTCTTGGTTCCAAAATGATACCTTTTATAATGATACTTTTATCAAAATGATACCTGTATATGCACAGATCATGTATAAAGCATATGAATATATGTATATACATATACAAGCAACCCCCACTTAGCGCTCTTAATTGGTTCCTGAAAACCCGAGTGTTAAGCAAAACGAGCGTTACATGAAACCAAAAGTATTTGACAACCCAAGATGGCGACCAGAATTGTTTTTAATGACCTGAGATGGCGACCATAAGCATTATAACAAAACCCGCTGAGTGCTAAGTGAAATCATGTATCAATTTAAAATGAGCGTTATAGCATAATACCGCTAAGTGAAACAGTGTTACATGGGTGTTGTCTGTATTATGTATAGCAATCAGGACTCCTGGTAGAGGTGATATTAAACCAAGCAGATTTTTGCAAAAAAATTTCTTTAATTGAAATTTTTTTGGCAAAAAATCTAGTTGGTTTAATAAAATATATCACCTCTACCATGAGTCCTAATTGCTTTTGCCATTCGACCAGTACAGCTACAACCTGGATATATTATGTATAGTGCATATACACAGACATATATCACGCACAATGTATATACATGTTGTATAATGTACATGCACAGATAACATAAAATGCATATGTAACGTATAATATACACTTATATATAATAAACATATACATAATAATAAACATATAATGCATATGGCATGTGCAGGTATCATGTATATGCATTATACTGCATGCACACACATTAAGCAATCAGGGCTCGTGGACAAAGGTGACACCTTTTATTAGACCAACAGGACTTTTGCAAAAAAATACAGCTACAACCTGGATACCTATACACGCATTATACATGTACATAGATGCAGATGGTATATAATGTATATACACGACAGCCATGATGCAGATACAGGTATAATCTATCATACATATACACACATAGTGTATAGACACAGTTAATGTACAACGCAAGTACATGTGCAAGGTGAAGACACGTACAGAGCCTCTACGCATCCACTCCGATCTAAGGGGGCTGCTATTGTCTGCTTCGGCGACGCGCGAGACCCCCACAAGCCAGCGCACACCACACAAGCGAGGCCTGATGCGGGTGAGGCGGGGCGGTTGGGTC